ATATTGTGTTCAACTTGTGTCATGTACTTTTTAATGTGTGCCCAGGGATACCTGAGTATGGTATGGCGAATATTATACCCTTCAAATTCATTTCTTTACATTTTCGTCTTTGTTTGATTTTGGCAGTCTACGACATTGGTATCGTTTTCCAATATTTTTTTACGCAACTTATTTGCTCATTTTGCAACTGGTTTGTACAATTTACAGTATGGCTGAAAACTTTCGTTTTTTGGAAACGGCCGAAAATTAATGCGTGCGCGGATGTCATCCTCAACATGATTGTCCTTATCATGTCTAAAAAGCTAATATTCTACCCCGTGGCCAGTGATGTAGCGTTTTTCCAGGTGGGGATAGATTCGCCATATCAGTCCGGTCTTACGCAGCTTGTACGTAACAGTGTGTCACCCCTTAAGGCTGTTTACCGGTAATAAGATAAGTCCAAGCTTTGAAGCCTCTTTATTTTTATCTCTACGGGGAAACGACCATATATCACTCTGACGCGCGGAACGGAAATAGCGACGTTGCCTTACATGTAAGTGGCGGATAAGGCTTGACACGTTTTAATAACGCTCAGATTCTTTATCTCACCCCACGCAATCTTCAGAGAACTTCCAACATGTCTCTCAACTTTTCTACTTAGAGAGAAAGTGGTGAAAAATCAAAAGACATTCCAAACTTTCCCTGGACCTTTTCTTATCGTAAAGTCTCAGAGAAATGTTCTAACGATTAAAATAAAGACCCTGGAGGTTTTGAAGCCCAAGTGTGTGGTTGGCTAAATCATTTGAGAAATCATTTCTCGAATTATGCACTTTCCGTTCAGCAGCCGCGTGAGCGTGGCAGTGGTTTTGGTGAGTCATTTTCCTTATCTCAACTGCACAGTACCAAAACGCCCACCGGTTCCCTGGCGAGTCCACCGACGAATCCTCCCCATTTTGAATAAAAAAACCTCCCCTGAACTTATCCAGTTGTAATTTTTCTCATGCTTTAATCCAAACCTTGTCTAAACGTGCAACGTCTTCTTGCCTGGCTAACTCCTCTGCAATATTAAATACATCTTAAAAGGTTCTTTCATTCACAACCATCCGTCGTACTTGAGTCTCAGTGCAAGGATCGACAGATAGTGTAAAACAAATGGTTGTGAATAAAAGAATCTAAACATTCAATAATGAAGTATGAAATTATTTACGGATTGAATATATCTGTTTATTCAACTTGTAACTTCTAGCACCACAAGAAAGCCACAAGGAGGCTGGAAGAGACTATGATATTCATCACACCCACACAGTAGTCAAACGGCTGCTAATCCCCGCACATTGGCTTATATCCACCAACGCTGTAACAACAGGCTGCGCCCCGATCCTTACATGTGTCCGGTAAATACATGATGTATGGACCAATCTTCACGCACGCAGACCTGTTAGCCGATTAGGTAACACCGCTGTAACGCGCAGGAAGGATGAAGCAACAGTTTATGTTGGAGAGGTTTACCAACATAAACTGGTCATTGCAGTTAAAATTATGACAGTCGGTAAAGTCTATAGATGTATGTGTACATCAGCCATAGTTTTCTACAGATAGACAAAGCCAGGCAAACACACACATGTGTGTGTATATATATATATATATATATATATATATATATATATAGAGAGAGAGAGAGAGAGAGAGACAGAGACAGAGAGACAGAGAGACAGAGAGACACACAGAGAGAGAGAAGCTAAAAGAAGGAGGGGCCGTCCATATACAGCACTAATTTGAGGAACCTTATCGAGGCTGGTCCTGGATTCTAAGCGAAAGAATAGAAATGACGGAGACTTCTGGAAGAAAACTTTGTATAAGAGTAGGATCGTACATGTATGTTTATATGTGTTTGGAATTCTACGGCCAATTGTAGAATGTTGATTTAGACTGCGCTTCAATGATGTGCCTACAAATTAGATAAACCATTTATATATAGATATAAAAAATATAACAATTCAGTTTCACAGATGAGTTTCAGAAGTGAATCTGTCCGACTGGGTACACGGGCCACGTTAGCAATTCCTTTAATCAGTTCTACATTTCATGATAACACGCTCTAAGTCAATGAAGTTAGATCAAGTCAATATGGCAACGTAATTATACGTTTTCTTATTTCATACTTATAGGTTTTGATAACTTTTAGGATAAAAGACCAGAGAGATTGTTTCGGACATTGACAGTACATAACAAGATTGCACACAGTTCCCAAGACGTAGATAAATGCATAAAGACAGGATTCTGGTTTCCGTTGCGGTGAAATCTCTCCCTGCAGACGCGATCTCTTGTCCGACCCTGTTCTTATTTCACGGTTAGATCAATCTCTATCAAATTCACGGCAGAGCTCGATGGCCATTTGCCCGGGTATTTGCGGAGTACAAGGATCAAAACTACCTTTAGATGAATGACATGTATAGCTTTGGACATTTAAATGAAGCAGAAAAATTCATATTTCTTATGAAACTTGACAAACCATGTATCATTAGTTCTATATGCTCCTACATCTATAACTGCGTCAAGAAGCGAGAAGAAGTCGAACAATGTAAATAGTAGATCACATTAGTATGTATAGTTTAAGTATCATTGCTGTATCCTTTTTCCTTGTCTATTCATGACCTGTACTTACCTTGTTAGAGCACAAACGTACAATAAAGGTCGTTCATTCATTATAAAAGACTTGCCAGGCACCACGAATAATTGAAACCGTTACTCTCGCACCCATAATAAATGTCTTCCGTGGCTCTGATATTTAACCCTCCAGAAGAAATCTTCGATTTTCCCTTCGATTTTGCTCGTAGAAGTTGGGAAAGATTATTGCAAATACATGCCCGATGGCTAATTGCAAATACAAATAACATGTATAAAAAGGAAGTACAATGATATGAGAGTCTACGTGATACTACATTCTACAACATACGTGGTCTAATTTTGTTGGGTTTGACGTCTCGACGTTTCGAAGAAATGCCTTTAACAAAAGCTGGAATGGGGCCAAGTTGGGTGGCATGAGTGTGATGAAGATGTGTGGCAAAAATAATTGGTCACCTTGCATTGCTGCATTGCCTTGGTGACTTGCATTGGATTAATGTTTAATATGTCTTGACTTAGATGTACAATTGCAACGTATGCATCATCTTTCTAACGGAGAAGAGATATTTTGTAACAGTTTATCAGCGTTTACATGCATCACCTGTAGTTTCATTTGACCAATCTTTCCCTAGATCCTGACTGATTGTTTTGCCAGGGGCCATGTAGAAGTGTCGATCAGCAATACTAAGATGTGCCCCGTCAACAGCTATTCGGGTAATCTATCTATCCTGGCTAGTCAGTCTGACTATCAGTCTTGTCAGTTTCACATCATAGAGATGCTCCTGTCGGAAGGATAAAGTGCTAAGAATGCAGAACGATTCTACTTTAGATGCAATCCAGGCAAAGAAGCTGGTGTGTTGCGCCGAAGGGGTTATATATACCGGCTGTACAGATATCATACAGAAAAGCTTCCCTCTGATCCATGTACTGAAGTGTATCCATGTACACACTATTGTGTAAAAAGAGGATCCATCAGTGTCAAACGTGAGGAAAACGTGTTTCTGTATATCCGACATAGCTGCCCTTCGGCGTAACACACCAGCTTCGCAGGCACGCGGCGCGGCGGCAGCTGGCTACATTACACCGAACGACTTGTTATACCTAAACATTGTTTAAAGCTATCTAATGATAATGGCCCTTACTGTACTTGGTGACAGCAAGTTCCACTCTGCAATAGTTCTCGTGTTCGTTAGTGGTTGACCTTTTGGTTGACATACGACTAACATACGACTAACATACAACTAAGGTACTTAAGAAAAAAATTGACAAACGTCTTAGTCTTACCTTTCAACTGTACCAAGTTTCGGTTTTCTTAGTGTATGGAACGAAAAGTCTACGAAAGTCTTGTATGTACGTCTCGTATACAACGGTTCCTGTGTCTACTCGGCTGGCTCCAATAACACACCTGACTCCATCCTAACTTGCAGATGTAAACGATAATGGGTTCAATAATGAAAATAGGCATGTGACCTATAGAGATGTGTAATATCATCATATTGGCAATTGACTTCAGTCTCCTACAATAACCCAAAGTTTGTTAGGAGCTAAAAATGTTTATTGAACTTCCTTCGTACGATGCATGTAACGTAAATCCAACAAAGACGATATACGCCTTTATGTCCTACCTGGGCCGCGATTACGTTCGATACGGGTGTTCCGGCCCGTGTGATAACTAGCGGTACGGCCCGGGGGTTCTAAACGCGTACAGCCCGGCCCTTCCAAATGTTCGATAGAAAGATTCGAACGCGTTTCGCCCTAACCGCGTGCAACGCTTCCGAAAATTCGAATGCAAAATTCGGACGTTGGAATTGATGTTGTTGCGTTTTTGGGGATTAGGGACACCAAATTTTTGCTCATTTCGCATTGTAAGGCGCGTTTTCGTGGGTGGGTATGACATAAATAAAATACAACACGGTGTATTCCGCATCACCCTCGGTCCCAGCCCTCCCGCGGATCGGATCTCCCTCCGGCCTTCGGGCGATCCGACGCGCGGTCGGGCTGGTACCTCGGGCGATAGGGAATACCCCGTGTTGTGTTCTATATGTACGACAAAGAAAAACATTTTCTCCTGCTCTGCAAACGTACAGAACTGGACCTCTGCGAGGGATGCAGGTCTGCGTAAAATCTAATCACATTTCTAACAGGATATGAAATTGAGAAAGGCTCATCTCAATACCAGATGTGCTGTGCGCAGGTAACGTTGAATATTAACACAGCAGAGGGCGGAGTGAAGGACCGCCTCGCCAGGCGTGCTCACACACGTGACCGCTGGGCGAGAAATACTGTATATATCTTCATACGAGTAGAGACACGTTATCATACCCGCCTGGAGTGCTGCAGGGAGCCAGGCTGTTGCATGCTTCTGCCGTGCAAAGCGTTCAAAGACTTCACCAGAGATGAGGAAAGCGTACATAGGGTGGATGTACGGCGTTGTCTGCATCTTTCTCTACGCGGGGGAGGTTGCCGCAGACAGTTCCAAGAACAACAGCAGCACTAGCAGCAGCAGTAGCGGTAGCCGGACCCGGAGCCACAGATACTGGATGCTGCGCCCCCCTGAGGGATATCAATACACCGTCAAACCACCGGTTCCAGGTCAGTGTGTAAACTCCAAGCAGATCTTTCGGTGTCTTCAAGTCAGAATCAAATTGGCAAGACGGTATTAAATTGGCAGGACAGTATCCATTTGTCGCGCAGAGGCTTGGCTGGCTCATGAAAAGATGCAAATGCAAAAGGAAAACCCGACGAAAACGCATGAAAACACGTCAAAAATAAGTCGAAGCCTCCTAAACCTCTGTTTGGAGAGTAGCTAGTGAAGGTTTGTCAGTATGGTCTGCTCACATTTATTAATAGCAGGGTGGATAGAGCTCTTTCAGAATCTACCATGAATCTTGTCATTGTACAACAGAAAAAAGATGATCTTAAACACCGCCAGAAGATAGCAGTTACAGAACAAGCCTGCTATATGGGGGGGGGTCGTAAATGGTCATTCGGACAAGAGAGGGTTACCTCTGTTAATGGCTTATGGCGAATGACTAGAAACGTAATGTCTTTGCAGATAATCTGCTGTGCAGGCAAATGTTTCCCTCGTCTCACGCTCTCACGAGGGAGCGACTGATAGATGCAAAACCCGGCTTTGGTGATAAGCCTACGGGCTGATCAAAGTTGCGCCTTAACAACTGACTATTAGTGAAGCCCTGTTTATGTTAATTCTTAATCAGAAGTGAAAATCAAATGCTGGAAAACGGTAGCACCTGTACCAGCTACTGACTACCTCTGCACCTGGCTATTGTGTCCACATGTTAGTGGTTCTTTCCAATGAATTCAGGAATCCTGTCCACAGTGGCGCCCTGTCTACTGTTGTGATGTTCGTGAAGTCCATTGGGTGTCAGCTGTAGCCAGATAGAAAGCGCCAAGTTGACCTACTGTCAGACTCAGACCTAAGGCCATAACCAGAGGCAATATTCTAGACTTCCCTCTCTGTAATATCATCCAGTAATCGTACCCGACTAGATATAAGCTACCTTTGCTCCACAGATATGAGCTTTATTCAATAAACCTCTGGTCGGATATGAGAAAGATGTTTTCCTGAGGTATACACTAGCACCACAAATCGCATCATGGGCAGCGAGGTTCTCACCCTAGTTTAATATCGCAACCACGAGCTGTGAAAGGTGGACTTTATTGGACCTCTAGGGAGGTCTGATGTACAGTGCAGTAGACAAGAAGGTATTGAATCATGTCTAGATAGATATTGCCGTATACCATCATTACCCCTTTGCTACAGTAGCGTAGGCAGTCCAGTGGCTAGTCACCCTGCCCCTTTTTGATGAACGGACAGCCCCAAAAAGACCACAAAGTAGTTGACCCTTAAAATTAAGTGTATACCAAACGGTATATATGTAGATACAAGACACTCTACGTGGCGTTGATGGGCGCCCGATCAGAGTACCATCTCTGCCTGTCTCTGGAAAGAGTAGCCGTAAATTAGAGTCCTGGCAGGCACTGTACCGATATGAAGTCCTTATAGTGCCAGTAAAGTCGGATGGGACTTCAATCTGTGGTCCACTGTTTATTGGACTTGAAAAGAGTTGGTGGAATTTCCTCAGGCACAGCAACACGTTTATAATACTAAAGCCGTCGTCTGTCTACCAGAGGGTAAGATTAGCTCTTAAGAGATCACTTTCACTGCTGACGCAAGTCTTAAGGACCGCAGGTGTTTCACTTCCACGGCTCTTTATCTGGCCAACTAGCTTGAGGTGTACCTTGTCTTCCAACTCATGTATATTTATCCATCCATCCATTGCGGATGTGTTGTAGGAAATCTACTGGACCACGTCGATAGCAACTGGGTGGTCGTAAACGTCACATTTAAGTCAGAAGATTAATCCAGCACATGAATGAAAAGTGACGCTTCTGCCAATAAATATCGTTTTCATTACCATGAAAGCGCGTCGCAGTAACTATGTATTAGGTAGATTCCTTTTGACACAGAGGATTTCGAACAGGGAACGACGGGGTACAGAATCTGCATCTTAATGGAGAAGTCGACTAATCCTCTCTTAATTGCTTACGAAAGGGCCAATTTCGGTGTAGTGATGGTTTATTTCTTTGATCCACATTGACGTTGATGACGCAGTGCTGCTGATTTAAGCGGGTTGTGAAGGAGTTGAAGCTTCAATGTTAATTAGTGTAGGAGATTAAGTACTTAATATCTAACACTGAAAAACGTCTTCAGAGGTTGGTAATTGTGTCCGACTAACTCGAATACTAGATGGGTTTCATGGATTGATTCACATTGACGTTGATGACGCAGTGCTGCTGATTTAGGCGGATTGTGAAGGAGTTGAAGCCTCAACATTAATTTGTGTAGAACATGTCTTCAGTGTTCGGTAACGGCGATTGACTAGCTAGAACACTAGGAATAGAACGGTTTCAGCGCAGCAAGAGTGACTTTCTAAACATCTCGCCTGTTTCACTTTACTCTGCACCATCTTGCCGCAGTTCTTGGACACATAAAGCCTGGTTACTATAAACGCTGTGATCAAACGCACAGCCCGCGATCGTAAGGCTACTCAGGGCCCATAATGGCTTTTGCAGAGCTATCCTCTAGTCGCGACAGCTGCTTTGGGACGGATTTGGAATAGCAAAAAAATTACGGTATGTTGTCTGTGTCTCTGAGATTGCCGGTTAACTATTTACGAAGACGTCAGGGGTTAAATGAAAAGGAGCACGCTGGCTGCTTTCAGAATTCTAAGAGGAAAGTAGAGTTGTTGGGTGGTTGCCAATTGAGCTCCCAGCTATTGCAAAAGGTTGCAGCCCTTAGTACGAGTAACGTGGCAGGAGACTGTGATCCACTGTTCATACTTGTCATAAATAAGCACAGCCCACGATCGTAAAGCCTGTATAGTCCTTAATTGCCGTTTGCAGAGCTGTCCTCTGGCTGCGACAGAAGAAATTTACTACATGTGGTCTATCTCTGAAACTGCCGGTAAACGTTTTACACCTACAAGGGAAGAAAGGGATTACTAGTAATAAAAAGGAACATACTGGATGTTTATGGAGATCTCAGGGGGACGTAAAGCTGTTGAGCCAGTAGGGAGTTTCGCAATGCACGTTATATATTCTCTTCCCACTGTGTTCACTACGTGACTGTCCTAAGAACGATGCTTGGCTGATGTGCTGTGATCCAGCACTACTGCGGGGCTTGAGAGAAAACGCATTATGGGCCAATTGATGAAGTGTGGACGTCCCTTGAATTCCTCCAGGCAATCACATCTCACCACTCTGCCGGCTCCCTCCGCTGTGGCAAGGGCTCTTGTTGTACCTACAGTGTCCGTAGAGTGTTATATATATGTATATATATA